GGGTGTTGGGAGAGGAACACTGATTAAAGTTTGTAACTGGTGTTATTGGGTTTTTATATTTCCATTAAATGATTTCTGTTTTTCAGACGTTGAGAGGCCAGACAGGTACTCATGTTATTAATTCCAGTCCAAGTATATCACAGAAAGCTCACCTGCTTGGTTCGGTTGTAAATGCTCCAGTACAACCATCTACGTCCCAGTTTAGTCGTTCTTCCACACCAAAAGTTATTTCCGGAAGACCATCGTCTGCTATGTCGACACATTCAGTTTTTAAAACACGTGGGTTTTTATCGTTTTTTAAGTTTAGTGGAATTATTGATGCTTATTGTTGTTTTCTACATTGATTTCAGTATTATTAAGTTTCTTGTTTTTTTACTGTTGTATTGTGTTCTAAAACCGTTATCAGTGCATGGAACTTTTTTGAGATGGTACTTCTGATAATTGATATTTGCTCCATTCACGGAAGACAAGTTTTAGTCCCAACAACGAACGAAGGGTCCATTATTGTAAGCGACGATTTGCCGCAACCGATGGCGGTGATCTGTCGACAAATGCAACAGCAAGAACAACAACAGATGCGATTAGGTGTAGCTCAACAGCAGTCTGCGTTTTCCCTTCCTCGTCCTCGTGATTATGATCAGCGAGCGCATGGAACTACAAATCCAGTTGTAAACTTGGATCCTCGGTTTGTTTTTTACTTTATATTCATTTGAATTAAAGCCATATGGTAGTTTTCTTCTTTATTTAGTTCCATTTGCTTCTTTTTAAGTTACTTCAATCCTGCTGCATGTCGTTTGCGCCCTGTTGTGAATCGTTCTTCTACTCCTGGGCAGCAAATACTACCTGCTGTTGCAGCAGTGAATAATTCTTTGAGGTGACATTTATGATTATAGCGCAGCTTGTTTTGCAACAAAAATAAAATGGATAGGATAAGTTTACAGATTTGCGCTACTATTTTTAATTAATTTTTTTAAAGGTTTTCTCCGCAGACCCGAAATCTTATCGGTATTGTGGAAAGTGGGGATTCTTACCGGCCTTCTATTAACCGTGTGATCCCAAACTCGGTAAACTGTTATTTTTGTCCTCGAAAAGATAGAGTTATTTGCAGTTATTGTTTTTCAAAATGTATTGCTAAGCGTTATGGATAACAGTTGTTACTGTAGACTTTGGTTATTTCTTATAAGCTTCACTGGTCAATCAAGACTGGATGATAAGAGTAATTTTCTGTTAAAATAGTTCGGATTTTTTAGTTTTGTGCCTAAGAAATACGTTATTAAAGTGGTTTTTTGGATTTCTTGTGTTTGAAGCCATTTGTTTTACTTGTATGCCCTCAATTTTTCCTTTTCTGAATCTCATTCTTCTTCCTATAGTTGACAAAAGTAGTTGCAGTAAGTGGGAATTTATTTAAATATCTGATTCTTATTAACTTACAGGCTTCTCCTTTCGAGGCGGAAGTTAGTATATCGTTAACACATGATAAGCCAGTCTCCAGCTCTTCGGCCTGCTTTTCTGAGACTGTAACGGCGTGTGACCCTTCCACTTCGTCTACGTCAGTTTTTCCCACCTCAAGTTCTTCAGGTTCTCCGCAGTTAAATAATTCTTTGTCGTCACCGCATCCTGGCCCAAGCCCGCGTCCTAGTATTTTGAGAAAAACTCGCGACCCAGCTTCAGGTTTCGAATTAGTACCTTTATTTTCAGTTGCAGTATTCGTGTTGAAGGATGAAGGGTGTACATTTTTTGAAGGTAATAGTGCCGCTGTGCGACGACTCGCTTTTGATACTCCAGTTACTCGTCCAGCCTCTTGTTCAGATAATATGCAGTTGTCCTCGGGGTTTAATGACGATCCGGCCAGGTTTGTATAATTCGTATTTAGAATTCGTTTTTAGTCTTGAATTTTTTTTTTTTTTTTT